TTGGTTTCGTTGATTTTTCTTTATTTTTCTGTTTTCTATTTCAAAGATTTCTGCATTGATCTTTGTTATTTTCTTCTGCATACTTTGATTTCAGGTGGAAGCTGAGGTCATTGACATGAACTTTTTTTTTTTAAAGGCAGTTAGCCATAAATTTCTCTAATAGAGGTGCCCCACAAATTCTATGTTGTGTTTTCATTTTCATCAGTTCAAAATACATCCTAATTATTACTTTTAAAATATTTTTTTAAATTTTATTTTTAAGTAATCTCTACACCCAACATGGGGCTCGAACTTACAACCCTGAGATCAAGAGTCACATGCTCTACCTACTGAGCCAGCCAGGCATCCCCCTAATTATTTTTTGATCTAGAGGTGTGTTATTCATTTTCCAAATATTTGAGGCTTTTCCAAGGATCTTTCTGTTACTGGTTTCTTTTTTCTTCCTCTTTTTTTGAGAGAGAGAGAGACTGATGGGGGGCGGGTAGGGGCAGAGGGAGAGAGAGAATCTTAAGCAGACTCCACACTCAGTGCAAGCCCAATGCAGGGTTCCATCTCATGACCCTGAGATCATAACCTGAGCTGAAATCAAAAGTCAGACGCTTAGGGCTCCTGGGTGGCTCAGATGGTTAAGCATCTGCCTTCGGCTCAGGTCATGATCCCAGGGTCCTGGGATTGAGTCCCGCATCGGGCTCCCTGCTTCTTGGGGGCCTTCTTCTCCCTCTGCTTCTCTCTCTCTCTCTCTCTCTCCCTCTGTCTCTCATGAATAAATAAATAAAATCTTTAAAAAAAAAAAAAGTCAGACGCTTAACTGACTGAGCCACCCAGGCACTCCAGAATCTTACAATAATATATTTCCATTTCTTGTCTAGCCTTTACGCTATTGACATAATACATTTTACTTTTACATGTGTTAACTTGAATCCTTTTAAACTTGAGACTTGTTTTATGGCCCAGAATATGGTCTATTTTGGTAAATGTTCTCAGTGCACAAACCCGTAATACATTATCATTTTTTTAACAATTATTTTTTTAAAAGATGTAACTAATAAAAAAAAGTATATACTTAGGTAGTTACCATTGCCAGAGCTCTTCATTACTTTGGGATTGAAGGATAGGTCCGTATCTTTACTTGGTACCGTTTTCTTTTTGCCTGAAGAAATTCCTCTAACATTTTTGTAGTGGAGGTCTGCTGAAATTCTTTCAGTTTTTATATATCTGAAGATGTCTTTATTTCACCTTTGTTTTTGAAAGAATTTTTTTTTAAGATTTTATTTATTTATTTGAGAGAGAGAGAATGAGAGATAGAGAGCATGAGAGGGAAGAGGGTCAGAGGGAGAAGCAGACTCCCCGCTGAGCAGGGAGCCCGATGTGGGACTCAATCCCGGGACTCCAGGATCATGACCCGAGCCGAAGGCAGTCGCTTAACCAACTGAGCCACCCAGGTGCCCAAGATTTCATCCTTTTTAATGGCTGAAAAATACTCCATTGTATATTTATACCACATCTTCTTTATCCATTCATCTATCAGTGGACCCTTAGGCTGCTTCCATAATTTGGCTATTGTATGTTTTTGAAAGATATTTTTGCCTAATGTTCTACATTGGGAGGTTTTCTTTAAACGCTTTAAAGATATTGTTTCACTGTCTTCTTACACAGGTTGTTTGGGTGAAAATCTGATGTCATTCTTAACTTTGTTCCTCTGTACCTTACATCTTTTAAGATTTCCTCTTTATTACTCATTTTAAGCAATTTGATTATAATGTGCCTTCATATAGTTTTTTTTTTTTTTTCATGTTTCTTGTGCTTGGGGTTTATTATTTTCCTGGATCTGTGGGTTTATAGTCTTCATTACATTTGGAAACCTTTCAGTCATTATTTCTTCAAATATTTTTGTCCCCTCTTTTTTTTCTTCTGAGTCTCTAATTACCCATATATTAGACCATTTGAAATTGTCCCACAATTCACTGGTGCTCTTGTAATTTTTTTTTAGATTCTTTTTTGTCTCTTTCATTTTGGATAACTTCTATTCTAATGCCTTCATGTTCACATATCTTTTTTTCTGCAGTATCTAATCTGCCATTAATCTCATCTGATGTATTTTTCATCTTGGACATTGTAGATTTCATGTCAGAAATTCAATTTGAGGCTTTTTTATACCTTCCTTGTCTTTCAACTTTTTGAGCATAAGGAATACAATTTTAACAGTTTTAATGTCCTCCTTAGGCCCTCCATCTTTCAGTTCTGGGTCAGTTTCAGTTGATTAGAGACTGTTTTCCTGCCTCTTACATATATAAGTATTTATGGATCCATTTTTTTAATGGCTGCCACACATTATGAATGTTTTCTTATTGAGGGCTGGATAGCTGCATTCCTATAAATCTTGAGCTTTGTTCTGTAATGAATTTACATTACTTGTCAACAATTTGATCTTCTTAAGTGTTGCTTTTATGGTTTGTTAGGTAGGTCCAGAGCAGGGGGACACAAAGATGAGCAAGGCATTAGTGAAAGTGCATACATAAGCCTAGGCACTAACCATAACCACAGGGTAAGGGTACAGTCAAAACTTGATCAGGATGGCAGAGTGCAACCTCAGCTCTGCCCTGTGTCTCCCCTTCCTGAGGCTGCAGCAGCATGAAAAGAGCAGGGAGGGCTGGAGTATTCCCTGGCTAGGCCTGGGGTACCCTCATGGGATCTGAAGCCTTATCCCAGGAGCAAACCAGCTTCCAACACAGACATGGAACAGATGCTGGCACAGGGCTGTCCAGGAAGAGGGCCCACCTGTCGTTCCCTTCTTCTTCACCCTTGCTGATCACACCAAGGCCCTGGGAAGTCATCACACTGCTCAGGGTCTCAGCTTACTCATTTGTAAATTGGGGTCACCCCACCTGACCTGCCTAGCTCAGAATGGTGTTCTGTCCTGGGAGTAAGGGAGGTAAAAACATGCTGAGTTTCTGACACTGAGACTCCAGTCCTGTCTACACACTGGCTTAGCCAGTTGACCACTAAGCCCACTCCTACAGGGCCCTCAAGATATGTGGTCAGAAGCTGTGAGGTTGAGGACAGAGGTTGGATGTGTGGGCAGCCAAGGCGATCTGGATTCTAAAACCTATCATTTGATCCTAACCTCCTTGCAAGGCAGGCTCCGCCAGGGAAGGTGGCCTCCTCCCTCTGCCCTCAGCTCTGATAGAAGCCTGGGATGAGGGGTGCCTGGGTGGCTCAGTTGTTGGGCATCTGCCTTCGGCTCGGGTCATGATCCTGGGGTCCTGGGATCGAGCCCCGTATTGGGCTCCCTGCTCGGCGGGAGGCCTGCTTCTCCCTCTCCCGCTCCCCTTGCTTGTGTTCCTGCTCTGTCTGTCAAATGAGTAAAATCATTAAAAAAAATAAAGAAAGAAGAAGCAGCAGCCTGGGATGAGTGGTCTCCTTACTCTTCAGACTCAAAAGCCTGAGAATACCAGGAATCCACCCGGAGCCTCCAGACCCGGGCATTTCTGTCATTCCTTTTCCCCTTATCTCTGATTTCCTACCAGTCAGATGATGGTGTCTGAAGGCAAGAGGCCAGAGTTCCCAACTGCCCTCTGGTTCTATGTTGGGTCATCTCTGCATCAGACCTGCCCTAATCCCACCTCTGGAAGGGCCTGAGGAAACAGGCCAGAACAGACCAAGTGGTTCAACCATGTCCGTGCCATTGGCTGTCTTTGGCAAGAATAAGGTGATACAGGTTAGCCCTCTATCTCCAGTACCACCCAAGGACCCTGGAGAGCCTCAGCCTGGTTCAGCTCCCACAACTTTTACGTTCTTGGGTGGCTTCCATCACCTGGGAATCTGGAGTTTTCCTAACCGTGTGTGATTTGGGGGGAGAGGTGGCAAGATCTGGGTACAAAGCTACACACACGTATTTGAGGTAACTGTAGATTCACATGCAGTTTTAAGAAATAATGGACATCACTTGTACGTTTTGCGTAGCTTCTCCCAATGCTAACTTTTGCACAACTATAGCAGAATATCACAACCAGGATGCTGACATTGGTAAAATCCATCGACCCATCTCCAGTGTGTGCCACTGTAATGATGAGACCACTAAAGCTTTCGAATGTACCTCCTTCTTTTTTTTGTTTTTTTTTTAAGATTTATTTATTTATTTGAGAGAGCGAGAATGAGAGAGAGTACATGAGAGGGGGTTGGGTCAGAGGGAGAAGCAGGCTCCTTGCTGAGCAGGGAGCCCGATGTGGGGCTCGATCCCGGGACTCCGGGATCATGACCTGAGCCGAAGGCAGTCGCTTAACCAACTGAGCCACCCAGGCGCCCTGTACCTCCTTCTCAAGTTGCTTGTGGCCGAGGGGGACTGCACCCCGCTGCACCATCTATGCCCTTGGAAACCGGACGGAGGTTGGCGGGGGCTTTAACAGGGCGTGGTGTGTGCCAGACTCCTTATCCACGTCATCGCTTAATCCTCACAAGAGTCTGTTTCACAGACGTTACGACTGAGGCGCAGAGAAGGGTGGAGGGTAAGTGGGTCCCAGGTCCCATCGCTGGGCAGAGGCGAACCCCGGCCTGCCTACTCTATCTACCCTCAGAGCACAGCCCAGAGGGCCCCTCTGGCCCTTAGGAGGCTTGGAAGGCTCCGTAAACACTAATGGAGTCCTTGGGGGCCCCGGGCAGGGTCCCGTGGCGGGGAGAGCAGCCAGGCGCCGCTCGCCTGGACTAAACTTCGGGGCGTGGCTTGGCCCTACACCTGAGCTCCACCCCGGGGAACGAGGAAGCCCGACGCCCGGCCGCAGCCTGCATACGGGAGCTCCCCGGCTCGAGCCCTCGGCTGGGGTCCGCCCCGGGGGACGCCGGGAAGCCGCCCCGGCCCCGCCCCGCCCCGCGCGCTCTCCTCCCCCCGCTGCGCAGCGCTCGCCTGCCCCCTGCTGCCGCGGGGTGGACCCTGCAACCTGGGCCCTCCCCGCCTCCGCACGGCGCACCCCCCACCTCCGGATTGGCGGCTCCAGAAGTCTCCGGGCCGTCCGCCTTCCGCCACCGGATTGGCTGTGCCCCGGGACTGAGGCCCCGCCCATTTCCCCGGGTCCTTTGATCACGCGCCTGCCGGCTCTTCCGGGGCCTGGGAGCCAAGCGAGGGCGTTCCTGTCCGGGCTGCGGCGGCGGGAGGTAAGGCATGATCGGGTTGGATGGGCTGCAGAGCGCCGGTACGGGTCCACGTCTCGGGGTGCCGGGATTCCAGGATGCCCGGGCCCTCTGTGCAGCCCCCAGACCTCCCTCCCCCGGCCTGAGCCGCCCAGCGCCGTGGGAACTACCTCCCACTCGCCGATGCTGCTCCGCATCCTAGGAGCGGCCCGACACCCGCCCCACCTCGGCAGGTCCCCTCGACCATGGGACGGTGTGCATGCGACTGGGCAAGCTCGGTGCCCCCACGGACACCGGGACAGGTAGTTCATACCTTGCCCTCCAATGGAGACCCAAGCAAAGCGGGGTCGGGGACCTTGGGGTCTGCGTACAGGGGCCCATCGACAATCTTGCATCCATCGTTGGGAGCTGACCCTCTCACCTCCGCCTGTCAACCCAGGCTAAGAGGGGAGGGACATGGGCGGAGCCCCGGGTGCGGACCAGAGGGAGGTGACATCACCTCGCAGATACAATCCAGCCCTGCCCACTTGTGTCCACCCTGGCACGAGACCAATGGGGGAGAGGCTGTCCCGGCTCTGTCTGCAGTAACACCAGGGACTAGGAGGGCATAGGGAAGGCCTATAGCCTAAAGTGTGGGGATTGGACCAGGACCGAGGCAGGCTCCTTCAGATGCTCCTACCTCACCCCCTGGGCCCCACAGTGCAGGACCCTCATATTTTTGTCAGATCTCCCCCTTTTGCTCCACTGGATAGGTGCTGGCGGCCCAGTGTCCCAAGAGGTGGGAATAGGAGCTGGGAACGTGTAGCTAAGCTTTTCCCAGTTGAGGTGTGCAAATGTTTGGCCAGCACCTGAGCTGGGCCTCACCCTGATTTGGGGATAGGAGCCGGGCAGGACTCTGGGCCTCCCCTTGGTGCCCTCTACACCCAGATTTCCCTGGAGTCACTGGAGGGTTAAACCCGGCACATTGACCCGGAGGATCCCTCGTCCCAGGGCCTGACCTAAGTTTTGATACACCACCAGCTCTTGGGGAGGGATCCAGAGCTTGGATGTCACCCTGGGTGAAATAGATAACCTCCCTTTCTCCTTCCCAGGGAGCCCAGTGGAGGCGCCCTCCCGAGGCACTACTGCCCATGCTGAGCACCCAGCCCGGCGGCTGCCGATGTCATGAGTAACACTACGGTGCCCAACGCCCCTCAGGCCAACAGCGACTCCATGGTGGGCTATGTGCTGGGGCCTTTCTTCCTCATCACCCTGGTCGGGGTGGTGGTGGCTGTGGTAAGGAGCCCCCACGTACACACATGAGCACCCGCACCTCTGCTGGGGCAGGGCAGGGGCTGTGCGGCGGGGGGGGGTGGTCCAGCCTGCACAGGTTCAGCTGTTCTGCTGTTTTGGGTGAAGGGGGTAGAGGTGGGTCTCCTGTGGGCCATCCTGGGCTCAGCAGCTTCCACAGCGCCGTGTCTCTGTTACAGGTAATGTATGTCCAGAAGAAAAAGCGGTGAGTGTCCCTGTCCCCAGCGTTACCTCCCCTGCGTTCGGCTTACCTTTTTTCCCATAGGATCAGGTGCTCTACATCCACGGCTGAAATGCCCCTCGGCTTTCCTTACACAAGCCTGAAATTCTCTACACCTCACTGTTGGGTTTTCCTGCCCAAACTGGGCTTCCCCGCCGAAGAGGGGCCGCTTCTAGAAGTGGGCATGTACTCTCAGAATCCTAGTGTGCCCCCAGAGGCACCTGCCGGAAGTGCCCTGCCTTGGAGAGTAGAGACGGGTCAGTCAGGTGTTGGGAGCGGGCAGCCCCTGCGCTGAGCACCCTCCCCTGCTCCCCAGGGCCGACCGGCTCCGCCATCACCTGCTCCCCATGTACAGCTACGACCCCGCTGAGGAGCTGCACGAGGCTGAGCAGGAGCTGCTCTCTGATGTGGGCGACCCCAAGGTGAGCGCTGGGGGCGGGGAGACTCAGCGGGCACCTGCTGTCTTCTCCTCTGTCCTGCCCCTGAAGCCCGGAGCCCGGTTCTGCCCTCAGCCCTACCCGTTCGGGCCAGGGCTAGTGGGGTGCCCCCCCAGGGGTTGCCGCGGCCTCTGCCCTGGACCCCAGCCCCGTGGCACCATTTCCTCCCCCACAGGTGGTACATGGCTGGCAGAGTGGCTACCAGCACAAGCGGATGCCCCTGCTGGATGTCAAGACCTGACCTGCCCCCCCTGCCCTGCTCTCCAGAACCATGGGGTCTTGGGAGTGCCTGGGGCCTGCGGCTTCCTTCCCCACTTGCACTCCCCCAGCTTCCCCCCGCCCCTGGCTGGGAACTGGGTCTCCTCTCCCCTCCCATCCAGCCCTGGCAGCTCACTTCCCCCCCCCCCCCCGCCAACAGGCCTTCAGTCTCTGGTGGGCCGAGCCTTCCACCCGCTCCCCGGGCTAATGAAAAGTTTTTCCTGCCCAGTTGGGTGGTTGGAGACATTTTCCTGGGCACCACCTTTCTCTTGAGCCCTCCCCAACCTGGCTTTGGATTTGTTTCCATGGTGACAGGGCCGAATGTATAGTATTCAGTATATATATTTTGTAAATAAACTGTTTTGTGGCTAGGGTGTGGTTGCTTTTTTCAAGAGAGGCTTAAGTTCCCTTCCCTGGAGCTAATGCTTTTCCTCCCCCCTCCCCCAGCCTGAAGAGCTGGACAGAGCCCACAGGAGAGCCACCCCCACCAACTAGGTCCTTGGCTTCCACCCTTACCTACCCCAGGGACCCACCATAGAGGACTCCGGTCCAGAAAAGGTATTTTTTTTATTCAAGTAACTGCAAATAGGAAACCAGATGGGGGGGCCCCAGGCTGGGACAAATAATGGCTCCCTCCTCCCCGACAGAACAGGGGGGAGAAGGTAGCCCCTACACCCTCGACGGTCAATACAGGCCCCCCCCCCCCTGCTGCAGCATCCTAGGGGCAGGGCCCCACCTTCCCTGGGACTGGGGTGGTCAGTAACCCAGCCTGTTCTGCCCCGGGCCCCTTCCCCAAGAGCCTCCAGGAGGAGGGGAACGCGGGCAGAACAGGAGGCGGCAATGAGGACGAACATTTGGCGCTGGTCGCAGCAGCAATGACGGATGTCTAAGAATGGAAACATTGAACGAAAACAACGCAACTGTCCAGAGGTAGTTTGTGAACAGAGGAAAAGATGGAACCAGAACCTTGGGGGGTGGGGAGGAGCAGAAGGGTGGGAGTGGGCAAGGCTAGCTCCTTGTTATTAGTGCCCCATGTGAGGAAAGGGGAAACTGAGGCCTAGGGTGGAAGCGGATGGGGTTGGGCAGTGGCTCCAGCCCACCTGAGGCCGCCGCCGCAGGGAACCTGGGCCTCCTGGACCTCACCTGGAGAAAGGGGGACTGCATTTCCCTCACGGCAATAGATTCCAGGGTGGGGGGGGTGGCCTGGAGCCCATTTAGAGTAGGGGGCTCAGACCCCTCCTGCCTTCCTTCCTGTGCCCAAAGGTGGCTGTCCGACGTAGAGCAAGGACCAGGCAAGGGAGGAGGGAAGGAAAGTGGGTGTGAGCCGCACCTTAGACACAGGCCGCTGGGGGGGTGGGCATCCTGGGGCCAAGCGCCGCCCCCCCATTGGCCATGCCTACTGTTGCCAGTGCTGTGGAGTGGGGCAGATCAGAATGAGACGGGGCGCGGGCCCCTTTTAAGGCCAGGGAAGCCCTCCCAGGCCCCTTAGTGGGAAGCCAGAGAGAAGAATGGGGAAGCGGAAGGGACCCCCCCAAACCAAGAGCCCAGTCAGCAACGTCCCCACCACAGAGCACGGGGACGCAGAAGGGGCAGGGTGCGGCGAGGTGCGCAGTCGGCTTTGTCTGGAAGGGCTAGTGTGCGTGTGGGTGAGGGCTCGCTGGAAACCAAAGGAAACTGCTCCCCACTCGGGCCTTGGGGCCCCGCAGCGGCTGGTGTGCTGTGTAGTGTGGTGGTGAGGGCGCAGGTGGGTGGCGGCGGTGCGTGGGCCTGGGGAAGGGGGGCGGGGGGAGCGGAGCGGCGCTGTCCAGTCCCGGAGGGAAACTGCTCCTCGGCGGCGAAGGAGCGGGCGGCGCGGCGCAGTCACTGCTCCTCCTCGGAGGACTCCTGCGAGATGCCCTCTTCTTCCTCCTTCTCCTGTGAGGTGGGCAGGCCAGTCAGCGCTGGGGGGGGGGGAGGGGGCAGGCCAGGATGGCCCCCAGCACTCCCCGGGCTCCCTGGCTCTCCAGAAGGGGGATGAGTCAGGGCTGAGTGTGTGAGTGACTCAGCAACCTCCACGGCCCAGTTTCATTCATAAAAAAGGAAGAATTTAAAGGGAGGGAAAAAAACCTCACACACATGCTGCTCTCGCCCAGAGCCAGGCCCCTTCGGCCCCAGGACCTGTGGAGGGGGGGGCGACCCGCAGAGCTCGGAGCCTCACCGGATTGGGGCAAGTGAGGAAGTCACTGGCTTTCTATAGGAGGGGAAGGGAGAGGTGGCCAGGAAGAGGAAATGAACGCGAAGGGGTGGCTGCAGGGTGCATGAGCCCCCCCTGCTGGGTGCAGTGCAGGGGAACCAGGTGGCCTTGGCCCGCAGGGGCAGCGGAGGGGCTGTGGAACCAGGCCAGGGTGGGGAGGAAAGGGAAGTGTGTGCCGCCGGGGCTCACTCACTGGGCGGGAATGTCGGCACACCACACGGGCCTGCGGCCCCCGTGCCAGGCACAAACTCCAAAACAACTTGCTTCCTGTTACTCACTGCTGGAGCCCTGCCAGCACCCCCTAACCCCCCTCCTCACCCTGGTGGTGGCTCAGCTCGAGGAATGAAGGCCTCAGGGAGTTCAGGGAACAGGTTGGGGCATAGAAAAGGGCCAGGAGGAACAAGGCTGGGGTGGCCTTTAACTTCAGCGTAGGCCCTAGAGGCAGCCTCCTGACCCAGCCCACCTTCCTCCGTTACGAGCTATTTGGGGGCTCAGAAACGGATGATGGGTCCCAGGTGAGGAGGTGCCTCCGTGTGGGATCACCTCTCAACTCCCACATAGCACTACCCACCCCACTCAGGGCTGAGCTCCTTTGCTGCCTCATCCTCCCTACCCAAGATCGTGGTGAGGACAGACCTCACCCTCTGCTCACGGAGCCTTCTTTCCTCATTTCTATTATGGGGGGGGTGATGGAGACTAGATGGCCTCCAAGTCCCCCTAGAAGCTGAGTCTCTTCTAGGAGCAGAGGAAAGAGGAGCCCCACCCTCCGCTAGGGCAGGGCAGGGGTCTGGTTTGTACCTGGGACCCCTTACTTCTCATGGACACAGCCCTTTAAAAGCCCTGGGATGGGTGCCAGGACGCTGGGCCACACGCAGATCCTTTTCCCTCTCTAGGCCTGGGGAGGGTGATGATGTCGTGCTATTCCTGGCTCAGGTCAGACAGAGCCATCCTTCCCTGCTGAACGCACAGGACTCGGCATCACCCATTCTGAAACGCCGTCCCCAGCAAACCACGCCGCCGCCATCCCTTCACCTACCAGTTTTTTGGGTCTGCCCCTTGGTTTCCTCCCTGGAGTTGTGGTAGTTTTCTAGATGGCCAGAGAAAAGATCCACTAAGTCAAAAGTGTCCCCGGACAGTCTTCACCCAATGACCAGTGCCGCAGTGGGGAGGGGCAGAACTACCTACCTCTGCTCAGGGCAGCCTGGGACTCTCACCCCAGCAGGCCCACCCGACTCCAGCTGGTGATGACTGGCCAGCCACAGTGCACCCCCCCCAACATACACACACGCCCCCCACTCCCTCCTCCACCCATGACTCAGAGGATATGAGTCGTGTCTCAAAAAAAAATAAAATAAAAAACAAAACAACCTCTCTGAGAGGCTGCTGTCACTGGGAATCTGGCCTTCCCTGCTCATCCCCACTCCCTTGGGATCCAGGGGGACCCCAGAATGGGACATTCTCAGCGCAGGGACTGGTGGAGCAGCCGCCCTTCCCTCTTCCCAACGCACCCTTCTCTAGGCAAGGAGAGCAGCAGGACTGCTAACTTGATTTCCCCAGAAGTGAGGCTTCCGTCCTCACCCTGCCTTCCCCAATTAGCCAAGACCCACTGCCACCCATGCCAGGAAAGAGGGGGCAGGGGACAGAATCAGGACAGGCCAGTGCCCTCCCAGACCTGCCCCCAGCTGTGGCCATGGGCCGAGGGGCCGTCCCCCTCCTGTGTCCTCACCCGGGTCTTGGCAGCACCCTTGTTTTTGCTTCCCTTTGGTCGGCCCCGAGGTCTCTTAGGTGTTGGCACTTCGCTGGGTTCCTTCTGCAAAGACAGATGGGGTAATCAGGGACCCACAAATGCCACCTGTCCCACCCCTTTCAAAAGACATGGCTCTCTCCCCGACCCCGGCAAGACTGAATCAGCAAGCCAGCACCCCGACCCAGAAATCCCCAGGAGCCATGGCAGGCAAGCCCTCGTGATTCAAGTTCTCACTCACCATCTTTTGCAAAGCCCCTCCCATGCTTCCCTGTGACAACAAGAGGACAAGAAACCAGAAAAGGGAAAGGTGGCGTGGCGGCAGAAAGACACTGTTGGGCAGCTCGGCCACCGCTGGGCTCTAAGCTCTTGGGCAAGACATGGGATGCTTGGGCCTCGGTTTCCTCAACTGTAAATGATAACAAGACTTAGCTCACAGGGTATCAGGAGACGGAATGAAGGGTGTGGAAGTGTCCAGCACTGGACCAAGACAGCTGCCTACTCCCTGTGGGGGATGCCAAAGAGGGGAAAGGATACCCCCCCACTAGAGGGAGCCTCCAGCCTCTACCTGCAAACTAGACTCCCTCCAGGCTGCCATGCCTCCCAGAGAAGAAATTATGCCTGGATGTCGGAAACCGAGATCTCTGCCGTGGTTGCCACTAAAATTTTAATAAGCCTGACAGAATAAAAAGCTGCTACATAATGCACAGAAGCTGGGCAGTAAAGGCATGTCAGCTGTGGTTTTGGGGTGGCGGCCCAAGGGCTGTTTAGAACTATGGTCCAGTAACCCAACACCCCCTTCTCGGACACCCCTCTGTGGACCCCAGCTAACAGGCACGAGGTAGAGGCCGAGAGAACCAGACCAAGAGAATGGCCGCCCTCCACACACTGTGGGCTCTGGAAGAGGCAGCGGAAACCCACCACTCAGACTCCTCATGGCTCATGTCTCCCTGAAGTCAGTACAGACCGCGCGCTCCACCCTACAGATGGGGAAGCCCGAGGCCCACCGTGCCAAGAGCAAGGGTTGACCTCAATTCCTGTCCTCTTTCCCGGGAAAGGGAAGAAAGCTGGGCCTCACCAGCCGCCGAGAATAAGAATTCTCTCGATTCTGAGAGAATCCAAGATCTCCACCACGTCACAGGTGGCCCCCACAGCCTGACTGGCCATGTTCCCTAGCGTGCCCCATGCCCCAGAGTGCCGGCTAACCTAACCCCATGGGACCTCAGCGGCGGATGGCACCAGGGTTCAAGGGTCACTCTCTCGCCAACTTCCCCACATTTTTAAGTTCTTAGGCTTCCATTTGCTTTTACAGAGCCAGAGCGGAGCCTGGCCCAGGGCCACACGAAGTGAGGCCCCCGGACAGGTGCCGGCCCAGGAGCTTTCTGTTATGGGCCTGAGATGAGTGAGTCCAGAAACTGACAGTTAAGTATTTAGAAATGTTTATGGTTAACGGACAAAGTAGTATGTGCAATGAGTCTAAGGATTAGAAGCCGGAACTTATATGTATACGCGACTCATCTTTACCATGTTTTTATAAAGGCACTGGGTCCACGACAGCCTGGAAGTAAAGGGTGGGTAGTTACCGGGGTGTGAGCCCCGGCCGTGTGACCACAAGGTCACTTCTGGCTTGGATGGTCGGGCATGGGCTCAGGGCTTCTCAGCCCCCTGCTTCTCTCCTGGGGTCTCAGGAGCTAACCAGGGTCGGCATGTGCTGGGTGTGTCTGAAGGACACACACACATACACACACACAGCAATGATTCTGCAGCCCTCTGCTCATTTTCACTTGCTGAGACGCCTGGCACCTCCCTAACCCAAAGGGGTAAACCGAGGCGAAGGTTCGGACACCCACCTGACTCCCTACCAGCGCCGTCCCGGGACTCACCGGAGGCTGCTTGCGCGGCCTGCCCCGCCC